CGAAGTATCTTGCGTAGACAGCTGTTGATGAACACTTGTATCTTCTGGATAATGGCTTTCGTAGTTCTCCACGTCTCCGCCCCATACAATAGAACTGTCTTGACATTTGTATTGAAAATTCCAACTTTGGTGTTGGTTGACAATTGTTTTGAGCTCCAGATGTTCTTCAGTTGTAGGTATGCTGCCGATCCGCGCCCTCACATCTGCATCTGATCCACCGTGTTCATCAATGATGCTGCCCAGATGTCTAAAGGTTTCCACATCCTCCAAAGCTTCTCCGTCAAGTGTAATTTGATTGGTGCATATTCTATTGTATCGGAGAGTCTTGCTTTTCTCTTTGTTTATATTGAGACCTACTGCGGCTGAGGCTGCTGCTACACTGGTCGTTTTCTCCAGCATTGCGTTGTTGTTGCGTTTGTGATAGAAGAGCCAGATCATCTGCGAAGTCTAGATCGTCAAGTTGCATCCTGCCTGTCTACTGTATCCCGTGCTTTCCTCCAGTCGTTGATGTCTTCATGATCCAGTCGATCACCAGGAGAAAGAGAAAGGGTGAGAGTAAGCAACCTTGCCTTACACCAGTCTTTACTTCAAACGAGTCGGTGAGTTGTCTTCCGTGGACGATTTGGCAGTTTAGTCCATCATCGGAGTTCCGTATGATATTGACTATTTTCTCAGGCACGCCGTAGTGTCGAAGAAGCCTCCATAGTGTCGTCCTGTCCACGCTATCAAATGCCTTCTCGTAGTCGATGAAGTTGATGTAGAGTGATGAATTCCATTCGATTGATTGTTCCATAATGATCCGCAGAGTTGCGATTTGATATATACACGATCTATCCTTACGAAATCCAGCTTGTTGATCTCGAAGTTGGGCGTCCACGGAATCCTTCATCCTGTTTAACAATACCCTGTTGAAGACTTTCCCTGGTATTGAGAGGAGAGTGATGCCCCTGTAGTTGTCGCACTTGCTAAGATCACCTTTCTTTGGTATTTTGATCAGAATTTTTTTTTCCAGTCTGTTGGTACTTGTTCTTCGTCCCAAATCATACTGAAGAGGATGTGGAGTATCTTGGCAGTTGCTGCTACATTTGATTTCAGTGCCTCTGCCGGGATGTTGTCTGGTCCCGCTGCTTTGCCGCTCTTGATTTGTCTAATGGCCATGCTGATCTCTTCAATTGTTGGTGGGCCAACATGTATTGGGAGGTCTGTAGGTGCTGCTTCGATGTTGGGTGGGTTCAGTGGGGCTGGTGGATTCAAGAGTTCTTTGAAGTGTTCTACCCACCTGTTTCGTTGTTCTTCAATGTCGGTGATTACTTTGCCTTCCTTGCTTTTCACTGGTCTTTCTGGCTTACGGTAATTTCCAGCAAGTTTCTTTGTTGTATCATACAGTTGTCTCATGTTTCCCTCTCTTGCAGCCTTTTCCGCTGTCATCGCTAAATCTTCAACATATTTACGTTTGTCGGTTCTGATGCTCCTCTTCACTTGCTTGTTTGCCTCTGTGTATTCGGCTTGTGCCTTGGCTTTGTCTGCTCTTGTTCGGCTGATATTGATTGCTGCCTTCTTGATCCTTCTTTCTTCAATTTTATCCAGTGTACCAACAGTGATCCATTCCTTGTGATGGTGCTTCTTTTGGCCCAGAACCTCCTGACATGTTGAAACGATTGCTTCCTTGATACCTTTCCAGTTGCTCTCCATGGTAGTCCCGTCTCCATTGAGTAGATCATTAAAAGGCCTCGAACCTGTTGCTGAGGGCCTTGTTGAATTTGTTGAGTTTGTCAGCATCTCGAAGAAAGGCCGTATTAAACGTTTGTGATGTTGTCCGCGCCGTTGTCCAGTGCTTCTTGAGTTTTAGTTTGATCTTGGCGACCAGCAAATGATGATCGGATGCTATATCAGCTCCTTTTCTGGTTCTCACATCCTCCATCGTCCTCCTGAACTTTTTGTTGATGCAGATATGGTCGATTTGATTCTGTGTAGTGTGATCCGGTGAAATCCAAGTGGCTTTGTGTATGTTTTTGTGTGGGAATATGGTTCCATCTATGACCAGTTTATTGAAGGCACAAAGGTTTGCAAATCTCTCACCATTTTCGTTCCTTTCTCCCAGTCCATGTTGTCCCCTGACGTCTTCGTATCCAGTGTTGTCCTTTCCAACCTTGGCATTGAAATCTCCCATCAGAATTGTCAGGTCCTTGGTTGGGCACTTCTCGAAGATCGACTGCAGCCTATCGTAGAATTGGTCTTTAGCGTCTTCATCGTAGTCGTTGGTAGGCGCATAGCATTGGATGACGTTCATTGTAATGCCCTCTCTCTTTGTCCTGAAGGAGGCTTTGATGATCCTTGGTCCATGAGATTCCCATCCAATAAGTGCATTTTGTGCTTTTCTGGACAGCATCAATGCAACTCCTTGTGTATGTGGGACATTTTCTTCTTCATGACCGGAGTATAACAGAAGTTCTCCTGAAGACAGTCGTTGTTGTCCAACCTGCGTCCAATGTGTTTCGCTGATTCCAAGAACCTCCAGGTTGGAAAACTCTTCCGGTCTCCCACATTGTCCGGACATTCCATGTACCTATAAAAATTTTCGCTCTGGTTGTAAGAAGGTGCATCGGCCTCATGACTTCCGAAGGAACTCGGCTTTTATCATGAGGCGTCATAATTATTCCTTCTACTCCTAGGGCAGAGTTTGAAAGGTTTGAATGATTTTTTCTGGTTAGCGTTTTTTTAGCGAGTTGATTTTCTACGGGATGGGGTCGCTAACCCCATGCCCAACCCTCCTCCTTTACCCGGGCTTGGGACCGGCAGCAACCCCCAGAGGAGCTACAGGCGGAGTTCGTAAACTCTTGAACTTGTAATGTATTACTTTGAGTATTAGCGATTATTCAAATATTTACGGAAGAGATATCTCAGTGAACAAAAGCGTTGATTTGTACAAAAACTATTCAATTCATAATTTAATAGATCCAGACAAATGAAATCAGGATGAAGTGTCCATCAACTGTAAGATTTCTGCTTAAAAATATTATCTTAAATCGTGAATTGTGCAAATCTCCTAACACTTTCTCTGTGTAGTCACGACTGGACCACGATGTAAACATACTTTGCAATCATCTGGTTGAATAAATTTCACACTGAAGTCTAACTGGTTCGTCCGTATACTCTACTTCCATCATAAGTTTCAAAGTTTCGCGGAAAATATGACGAATAATCCCACGAAGTGAATCAAAGTTTAAAATATACGCGACATTTACATTATACAGTCAAATGTGCAATCAATAAAACATAAACAGAAGACGATATATTTAGTTTGCAACAAGTAAACGGAATTACACAGCTATTTGACAAACGGTGCTGATTCTCACTTTATGCACTTGAGCATTAATGGTGTCACGGAAACTGAAGGAAATATGGCAGTTGATTACGATTTAAAAAGTTATCAAATTCCCTGTACAGTATAAACTGGAAAAAACTCGCTTTAAGAGAATTTACTCTACAAGTTGGACATTTATTTGTGATAAGGTTGCAAACAGTTTGTGCCTATTTAGTCCATATTCTAAGCCTTTTGGATCCATTTCACCTTACAGAAATTATTGTTGATCACAACAGCCCTCTACGTTTTAAATTGGTATCTTAATCTAGTGGATAACTTTGGTATTTGTATGAACTGGTAATTCCTATGTACTGGATTGCCCACTGATTACGAATTCCAAATATAATACATTCATTTGTGACTATCTAGTTTTACCTGGCTTAAGTTGCATTATTTCGAAAATTCTTAGCTAATACATTGATTTAAATACTTTTAGTTATCATAATAACTCTTTACAAAGACTGTAATAACTGATAACAACATCCACCTGAACTTAATTTAACTTTTGGATAGTTTTAAATCAGATAGCATCTGATTATTGTGTCGTTTTTATCTTCCGAATGGTTCTTTTTTGAGTAATTATAGTTTATATTCATAATTTCTCTGCGGATAAGCATATATGAAATGAATCACTTCAATTAAAATATTGTGCTTTAACTCTTGGTATACTGTTATATTAGGATGTTAGCTCGTAAGAATATATATGAAAATCAACAGGGGTTATATAGGTATATTTCATCATCATCATCATCATAATTCATTATCAGTTGAAGTCAACTAAGGGCTATATATTGTTTTCACTCTCAGCCTCCATATACACTCAAACGTTAGCGCTTGCAACAAATATTCACATAAGTACGTTATCAATAAGTAACTCAACATGCTTAATGAGGTTACGGCAATTGATCCAAGTATAAAAAGAATTAGTGTCAGATAATGTCTGATGCTATATTCCCTTATTGTGTTCGTTATGAAAATTCCATACCAAATCACAATGATGTACTGAACAAAGAAAAACTTGAAGTCATCTTCAAATTAATTGATCAATACCAGGATTGTCAACATTCTATTATTTATATAAGCAAGCAATAAGCAATCCCGTAAAACTACTGTAGTGTGGTCTACTTATATCCATATAAGTAGTATATGGTGTTGGTCAGACATAGAATGTATTTTCGCAGAAGACCGATGAGCAAAGAACTGAAATGCAGCGCAATCGTTTGGAAAATGCATGAGCAATGGAATAAGAGAAGAAACAGTGAAGATTGAAACAACTGGTTGTTAATTTGCAAATTGACTGTTCATTGTTTGGTTATCAGAATTTACTGAGATAGTCTGTAATGTTTGCTTAAATACATTTGATTGTCCCCAGCAAGTGTTCTGTTCACTACACTACTTGCAAATTTTTTATTTTAAGATTGTATAGATTGGAATCGAAGCCTAGAAGAGATTAGATGGAATCTTCAAAAAAGGTATAAATCTGATTTATTCGCGTAAAATTAACTTTTCAAATAAAGAATAATAACAAAAACAACGACTGTGTGCAGTTTAAATGCAAAAATAGTGTTATCGGAAAATCTCGTTGCGTATAATTTCCATTTACATATTCAATGTGGCGTCCACTCACATCCAAATTTCACTTTCTTTTCTTTCTTCTAACTTTTTTCTTTTTTGGACCGGGTGCTAATTTACGTACCATATCAAATGTGTCTTGATTAATACGATGACTTAAACGTACACCGATTTGTGGTAATTTAGCATCTTTACGACACAGTATCCCTTCTAAAATTTGTCTGGCGGCAAGATCACCAATATCATTAGCAAATAAATCAACTTCTTGTAAATCCTTACTATGTGAAATTATACTGAAGAAAAAAGAATGGTAAATAATTACGTTTAGCACATAAAATGATGTGACATAACAATTTTAATGTAATCTGTTTCTTATAATATGTTGATATATTGATAAATTACGAACGAAAAACTCTTTATTCAATATTGATCACTCTCTGAACACTAGATTATGTACTCTTCCTTTCAAGATCATATTCTCCAATTGTGTACGAAGAAGTGAACCAGTCAATAAGACATATTTTTAAATTTTTTTCTTAAACTAACAAATTTGAGAAAAATCTGTGTGATCATGTCAGATTCACTGTAAAGTTTTCGTACACTGCAAAGATAATTTTATCATGAAATACAGTCACCACGACAACTATAAAATGTCAAGAAGTGAAAATTTGTATCACCTAGGTTTGAACCCACATTAGTGTGCACTAACAATAAAACACATTGTGGCCTGAGCTTATAATGATGACAACAGTTAGGGACTTTTTAGTCAAATCAGACGGTTCATATTTTCTATCACTAATGAGTTTCAATGTACGGTACTAGTTAAATATGGTAAATCGGTTAATGAGGTCATAAGCGTCAAACAACTTAGACAACTGGAACATGTGTTTCGTGAGTTTACTTCTCGCCTCCACCGTGAGAAGTGGGTGTATTTTGGAAGGAATTTAAACGTGACGTCAGTACAATTAATTATTGACTGTTGATCTAACTCATTCTGAAAGACACAGACTATCTGTCTGGACTTAATGTCATAACTGTGATTATTGATGAGAGATACTATGTTAAATGTCTAAAGATCTGTTTCTTGTGAGGCATAAAAAGTGATTCTAAATTGTCTTCTAGATCTTGAGTTCCAATATTATTACATAATTTCTATTCTAGCAGTCTCTTTTTACGAACCAAAGTCTCCGTAGTGAGTACTTTCTATGATATTTTATTTTACTATTATCTTGCTGTTCATCTTGTTAACCTAATTTTGTTATTCTGGTGCGTAATTCCAAATAAGGTCAATGCATATATACAGCATATCTCACCCTGATCGTGACTAACTGACTAGATAAGAAATCAAAATGACTTTTAAAACAGACTTCAGTGCAAATTATATATATATATATATATATATATATATATATATATATATATATCATAACGCGTATCTCAACAATAAAAGATCTTGGCGTGTTTAGAAATACTAGAAGACTGTCATCAGTCAATTTTTAATAACTTCTTATGTTATGAAAATACGTTGTCTAGGTAATGGGTGTGTAACAAATGAATATTGCATAAGAATACTAATAACTCATTAACACTCAAATAAAACAAAACGACAGAAAGAAAAATCCGAATTTGAAATCGTCACTGAAATATTGTATCATGTAATAAATAAAGTTAAAACAAATAGTAACAACTACTATTAAAATCAAGACGAAAATATGACAACTGCTAGTGAATCCATTAATCCCTACTATGAACAGCATATAAAATGCTGGTTACTCAGTTACAGTCATCAAAATGTTAATAATCAGTGGGTGGAGACTTTTGATCGCATGCCTCAGGGCTGGCTACGTTTTTAGTTTGCTGTTAAGGCATTTATGCCAATTTTCAATTTCTCAGACTTAGTACAACATGACTATTTGACAGCCATTTAACTTTATATATAGCAATGTATTGATGTGTACTGACTGACTGACTTATGGATTTTACAACACTGATGTTTTAATCAATTTTTTTAGGTTTTAAGTACATTCGTTAACATTTAATTATCATTTTACCTTTTTATTAATTGCATACATCGAACTGTATTGAAATTTCCTTCTTGACCATAATGACTAATTTCATTATCCGCTAATTTCAAAACTGAAATTTGTGGACCAGAAGGAGGAAATAACGACTTGCTTTTATTCTTTCTACCACGTTTTCGTCCTTCGTTAAAAAAACAATTTGAATCCAGGTATTATTAACCTATTCATACATTCATTTGTTTAATAAGATTTTATTAACGTTTATTCCTTCAAAATATTCATGGAACAGTAGTCTGAAAATTACTATAGTAATAATTTCTTGATAATCTACTTTGAATTTATCATTTCTTTACTAAACTGCCACATTCTCTACTCTATTAAGACAGAATATGATCTAGAAATAAGGGCGCTTGAACGTGTAGAACCCCACAGTCGCAAATACGAAGACGGAAGTAGCAAGGGAAATGATTATTTGGTAGGAATCAAAATTGTGTCAGAAAAACATGGGTATTAATAGTTATCAGTATTGGCTATCCGCAAGGAGGCAAGTTATGCTATCGTCTAACTGTAGCATGACACGTTGATATTCTAGAAGGCATTATCAGGTTTTGGTTGAATGGAATCTCTTCGACTTCTTTAGAGCCCCTGTCGTCTTCGTCGTGCTTTTCGAAACCGTCCCAGCTTAAACAATTGGAAATCTTTTCCGGTTTTAATAAAATTACTTTATTGCATCCCACTTATTTTCTTTGTTACAGAGAATGTGCTTTACAACAAATGCATAGTCTCATAAATGTTTATGAAAATCAACATCTGACGAAGATATGATTTTTATTATTTTGTTCGAAAAGTGATTAAATGATCGACATTAATTGTATCATACTCAAACAACCTCATTTAATTACTTCAACGACTTATCATTATTGATCCAAGAGGTGATAAAATTCTACTTTTTATTGGCAGTCATTTGAACAACATCTAATTAGAAAATACAGCTAAACACTGATAAGTAATCAAATAGATAAGTGTATCGATGAAAGATCTAGTATAACAATGTCACATAGCATTTATAGTAGCTCAAAAAAACATCACAAAAACATAAATGAATCCCTCTATGAGAAATACTCAAAATCTAATGATCGTATTTTACGGATATTACGTATGTTACCCCTCGTGAAGGAGCTTAGGCCGCCCACCAGCATTCTTTATCCAACTCTGTCCTGGGCAATCCTTCCCACTTCTTTCCAGTTGTTATTCATCTTTTTCATATCTGCTTCTATTCCCTCGCGTAATGTGTTCTTTGGCCTTCCTCTTTTCCGCTTCCCTTCCAGATTCTAAGTTAGAGATTGCCTCGTGATGCACATTGGTGATCGTATTTTATGCTCACATGTAATTACTCAAATTCAATAATTTAACCATTTAATAGAATATATTGTACAGTTTAATAAGAGTAGTTTAAAATCAGTACTTCAATTATTGCACTGAACTAATCCTGAACATCAAACCTCCAGACTTATCAAAATCGATTTTCCCGAATACAATCATTTTATGCATTACTCTCTCTAATTTGTGAAATTCATTTCAGAATCAAAGACAATAAAAACTGGAAAAAAATATCGTTATTTATGCTCAATGAAAAACCAACTGGTCATATAAATAGCTATTTAAGAAATCTAATTGCAGCTTATGGTGATTAAATACATATCAATCCAAAAAGTAACATAATCCATTAGCTATCGAAGCAAGAAATTATAATAATAAAGTTTAGGCATAATAATACATTGATGTTACAACAGTGTACCACAATTTGAATGATATTTAACAGTATAATCACATACACAGCCTAATAGCAGTTAATCCAATGAAATTATCAATTCATTAGTTTAAAAAAATGATGATTTAAATGGCTATGGTATTGACTCGTAACTTTGCATATATATATATATATATATATATATATATATATATATATATATATATATATATACATACATAAAGGTTTACTTCAGTGAGAAGTGAATGATTCTATGATAAATTAATAGTACCAAACTGTTCTATACTCAGTGTAGTAAACAAAAGACTACGAATCTACACATGAAACTGACTGATTATCATATATTAAACAATATGATGATTGCCTAGTCATGGAAGTTGGTTGAATTCGATCAGTCCACTTGTATTTTGCCTTAATATAGTTTGGGCGAAAGAACATTGCACACACTATGTTTGGATATTAAGGGATTTACGGCAATCGTAAGGAAACCCTGAAAGTTAACTTGTATCAGAAGTTAAAAGTTCTACTTAGGTCTAAAACATGTGCTGCATTTTAAATGTCAGTCATAATTACTTTCCAGCAAAATCTTATTGATTTCTGTTAGTAAGTAGTGAATAACATGATGAAGTAAAGTTGGTTCCATCAAAAATACAAACCTTAAGGTTTTTCAGTCTATTTCAAACTAATACGATAAACTGTCTTCATGTTCCTCACCCTCATCATTTCACAACCATTCCAGGGTGAGGGTGAATTGCATAACGATTGCATAACGCTTGTAAATATCGTGAACTTACCTTTAGATGATTTTTTCTTGTCACTTTTTGCAGAGGTTTTTTTACTTGATAAAGGGGTTGTTGGGGATGGAGACTGCAGGGCTGGATCAGCAGTATCATCATGAGCCGCTTCTAGAACATCTAGGTCCTTCACTTTCGCCCGACCTATCGACAGTAAGATGAAAAACACAAAACCTTTTCTTCAGCTCAGTGATTGCGCATTTATCTGTGAGTACATTACATTAAGCACCCATTCTTGATATTATGAGGTGATTTTGTTAAAATCATTAATTCATAATTATTCATCGACTGATTTTATATCTTTTATTGGTAAATGTACATCTGACTACCGCTTGAACGTGGCACTTAGTTTGTGCTTTTTTCAAACATTATATACACAAACCATTAAAATGCCTCAGAAATAAAGCGAAACACAAATTCTTACTAATGTCGTAAGAAAAATAAAATGTCATTCCTATCTTCTGAAGTATACTCGTTTACTTTTACACAGGTATTTATACAACTGATGAAACTCTATGGAAAATCCAAAAAATCAAAACTGGCTATCGTGAAGTATATACCTTCCATTTTGTCGATTGTGTCTTAATTTTGAATATATTAGTGTGTTTATAAGATATGCATGAATGTGATTAGTTTAAGCTAAGAAACTCAAAATGATTCACAAAAATATTAGAAAAACGTATTCAGAGGATGTGAACATAACTAATGTAGGCAGTAAATTCAGTGTAACTTAATAGAAAACATAATCTACTTGGTGACCATCAGGACTCCGTAGCTAAGTGGATGACCTAATGGCTTTTGAGGCGAACGGTACTGGGTTCGAATCATAGAGTGAATATCAACTATGAGATGACAAGTCTCAAATAGGAAGAAACATGTATCCTGGATTCCACTGCTAGCTGCCATTCATCTTTACTTAGAAAACAATTGTTTTTGATAAATTTATTTATGTAGTGTAAAAAGTTTTAATAGGTTATTTCATGACAATGATCCCTTTCTCAGAATAGTATTAAGGCTATCTTTGATAGGATTAGTAGTCTTCAATCAAATTTTTACCTAAGTTGTAATGTTATGAACCGAGTTAAAATCCAAATATTGCATTTAATCAAAATCCTACAGATAAGTAAATGAAATTAAACATTCAAATTGAATCAACTCTTATGTTAATTGTAACTACATTTTAGTTTATTTAATTTTCTATATTTATCTTGAAATGGTATTTCTACAAAAGATTCACCGAAATTTATAATTAATAATTAACTAATAATAACTATCAAATAACAGATTAAATAATGAAACTACTGTGGTGTCTGCTACTGATGTCGACAGATGTAAGTAGTATGTATCGTCAATCGAGAGTGAAATGCCTGGAGGCAGAATGTTAAGAAGATCAAAGATAAGAGAATGATGGTTGTAGGAACGAAAGAATAATGAAATCTGAGACGATTGACTGATATTTGAAAAAAGAACAGTCATGTTTAAGACAATTGGTTGACATTTTTCGAATTAATCATTTACTGTATGGTTCTCAGATCTTATCAACATGTTCTGTAATTTCGTGTCCCAATAAATTCTATTATTGCCGCTTGTGTTTTCGTTTACTACACTACTTTCAGGAAAGCTTAATACAGTTATTAATCTTAAATAGAACTTCAATCCACTTACTTTTGTCTGAATCACAATTATCCTCAAATTTATGTCAGTGATTATCTATACCCTTGACTAAATGTTTTCTGTAATTTCATTTTATTTAAAGGAATATTAAATGAGTTATTATTATTAATATTTAAAACAATTTTACCTCGACTTCTAGTTTCCTCTGCAACTAATTGTTTTCTTCTTATCTCTTCAGTACGTTCAAATCCTTCTTTCTCTGCAGCATCAGAAATTCGACTAAGTAAAGCTATAGTTCCTTCAGCTTCTAAAGAATTCCCGTCAAGAATAAGCTCCCTTCAAAAAAATTTTTCAAAAAATGATATTCATAGTTTCCATAAAATAACAAAATAAGTAAACAGTAACTCCGATTTATTATTTCATTCATAGTTATTGTAATAATTTTTCATTAAATATTTCTTTTACAGAATATAGTTCTAAATTACCATCATCAATTATGGCATTTCTTATGAAAACCATTCGGTTTAGTTTATATTTTTTCAGCCAAGTCAAACAATCTGTTCACGTTTTAACCTGACAATGACTACTGTTGTTTCACTTAAGTAGACTCATTTCATTACAGGAAAATGTCAAGTGGAAGGATTTCCTATGTGTTAGTTTTTTATACATTATTATTATCATTTAAAATATTGGCTATGTTTATTTGAATCCTACTGTAGTAAATGAGAACACGAGTGGGGACAATCTAATGTCTTCTACAAACTATTTCACTAAAATTTGATAACCATATAGTAAATAGTTAATTTTCAAATTATTAGTCGATTGACTCAATCTTGACCATCCTTTCTGTAAATATCAGTTCATCGTCTCCAATTAATATTGTCCATGCATTTTCACACCAATTGCGCTTCGTTTCCGTTCTTTCCTTATAAATCTTCTACTGAAATACATTCAATGCCCGACTATGGTAATATGCTACTTATGTGGATATAAGTAACCCACACCACGCTACATCAACCTAGGTTTTAATTCAACTATGAATGCTATATGAATTATATGTTCCTTATAAATAGAGAATAAGATATTGAAGTTTTGAAAAAAAATCAATAGACAAAATGCAAATTCATCTATATCACTGAAAGAGAGAGATAGAGTTTACAAATTGCCTTTAAATGTTGATTTTTCTAAAATAATCTTATTTTCACATGGTGTTGTTTACTTGTATCTTCCCATTGTTATTTAGGACTGCAATTGATCAGTCTCTTGTTGACATATTTACATCTTATGCGGACTGCCTCGATATTGTCTGAAGTCAAAAACCTTATAAGCAAAGATGGATAGTGGCTAGCAGTGGAAAGTATACATATTAGGGGTATAATTTTCCTAAAAAAGCAATTTTTCATACATCTATTAATGAGTTGATCCTGGACATGGTTTACAAATAATCATAGAACAGGTGAAAATAAATAGTATTTATCATTCAAGCTAACTTACCTTATAGCTGTTTCTGCAATTATATTTCCAAGCCACAAACCGCATTGTTTAGTGAGACCACAAAATCGTAAGCTTAAGTAAGTAAGATATTGATTTCTAATTAAACCATCACATAATATACGACAACCTTGTTCACCGATTCTGAGTATATGAAATTAGAAAAAAAATCAAATATATAGTCAAACTAGTCTCACGATAAACACGTTTATGTATTCATGAGAAAGGTTATTAGATCAGCTGCAATACTTATCAAGAAAGAAAGTCTCCCAAACTTTTTGAACAAAAAGCCTTTAAATAACTTCATTCCTTTGGGTAAGATAAAAAGACGAATGTACATTGGAGTTATGAATTCCAAAATGTTCAGAATTTCATAAAAAAGAGAACCTGTCTAAACGTTTGACAGATATTATTAATCCTCATTTTCTGCTTTTTAGTTTAATTTCTTCACTTCATATGCTATTATGAAGTGTGGCAACTTGAAGTTATATATATTCATCCCAGATTGTCGCCTACTTATAATTGACGGACTATTAGTTAAACGCTCATCCGCTTTAAACTTTATTATCCTTGACCAATTAGAAAAAATATCACGCACACCCAAGTGATGATTTCATCTGTTTTCTAACTAATAATACGACTGTATTTTGGTTTTATTTTCTAAATATGACGTTCTTACCTTTAGCATATAGTAAGACAGTTTCAGTAGAAAGTTCATGAGTGGTAGGGTGCTGCACTAATATGCGGACACTACCAATCATTTCCATAATGTTTACGGCTGAAGCTCATCAACTTTAGTTCAAACTTTATACAAATAACCAAGATCATCACTTAATATGAGACGTGGCTGTTTCGCCATACAGTTAGACTGAAAAATAAACTAATCAACATAAATTTGAAAGAGCTGTCATCAATATACTTTACTGAGGGAACAGTTTTCATAAACTGAATGACTATAGTTCTACGGAAAACCAAAGCAGACAATTTGCATAAATATTCGTCAATATTTGAACAAACAGTTTGATAGGAATTTGACACCGAGTATATAGAAGACATTTTATGCAAAAGTTATATTTGAAACTATCTCAGTGACTGAAATCTAAGTACCTCCAACGTTTCGTCCAGCAATCTTATCTGAACTTCTTTCGAGTAATAAACAGTCGTTCAGGTTACATTCTTTAACTGAAAAATACTAGCTAGCATTGAGAACAGAAGTTAAAAACTGGTAAGTAATGGGTAAGCCTTCCAGAAGGTTAATCATAACCTAAATATCTCATCTATAAAGGATTTCATTGCAAATATGGAAATTTCTTAGTCAAATCTCGTGAAAGATAAGCTTGTTTGAGGTTGTTAATAAACTTAATTATAATCGACAATAAAAATAAAATCCAAGGATTGTGTTGTTGCCTTTTATTCTGAATTCAAAAACTATCATCGCTAACAACTTTAGACAATAACTTTAAATTTAGGCTGGTATAACAGTTAAATTATATTAAATCATATACAGCTTTCCCAGTTCAAGAACTGACATAATTGTTGTACTGCAAACTAAAATTATCATTTGTTAACTTATCGGTCTTTTTACGATAATAACCAAAACCCATAAATTTTTGTCTTCTTTTTTAAGTTTGACTGAATGTGTTGGTGCATTCTGTCTTATTTTGAACAGGTTCAGATGGTCAAATTTGCTGACGCTCATCAATACGGTGTGACTCAAACGGTTAAAAAGGTCCATTCCTTATTATAAGTTGCATATACATCTTGTAAACAAGCACCAAAAAGCAATGTTATATGTTTTTATTTTCCGCTTAATCACATTTAACATTTGTTGATTTCACAGTTAAAACGGTGAAAGTAAACTTCACCAGTTATAGAAGTTATATGTGAAAGATTACAATGGATATAAAAGAAAGATGAATTGAACAGTCCCATTACTAATAGTTATTTTCTCAGCACGACAAGATAGTTTAAAATAATTATATCCTATGGAATCAGTAAAGACAGACCGACGTCAGAATGTTAAATACCAATATTGTTATAAGGAGAGTTTAACATATAAGGCTATTTGCTTAACTGGGTAAAACCAAAAATCATCTGTATGGAATCGTATCATTCCTCATTCAAAACAGCTTGAAAAATTCCTGTTCCTAATAGCTATTTGATTCATTAAACAACATATTACAAGATGGTCATTATCATGGTTCCAATGAGAAATGAAATATAAAGATATCGAACAGACCCAGAGCTCAAACAGTTTTAAACCCTGACCTTGATGCAATCCACCAAGATGTTCTGTTGAGTAGTATGTACAGACTTCATCGAAAATATCTAAATTTAGCTTAAAATAAACATCTTTTCTCAGCAAACGTATCTTCACCTATAAATTCAAATCAAATATAGGATTTGTGAAAATTGAACAATAAATGATGATTACTTAACTAGCCAATCAATAAATATCAAATACTTCACACATTTACTCATTAAAATCCAAGGATAATTCACGTAGTATTTTAGAGATAGCAATATTAGCCACTAATAAACGAATACATTTCGTGTCAAGAAAACAGTTGATTAATTCAATACGTGTAATAAGATAACATCCTTTATTGAACAAACCAGTCTAGAAATGAAAAAAAGAAAATAGGTATCAAAAGATAGAACTTACAGACTTAATACATTTGTCAAAATAATGAAATTGTAAATTATACTAATCTCGAAATTTGCTTCCATAAACACGAATTCATACATGAATAAATTACTCAGCTTCTTTGAGTAATTTGGCAGCAAAATTTAGTAAAGCACATGGCTTATTGTACAATCTAGTATTGTCGTGTATAACATATTTTTCATCAAGGTAACAAGGAGTTGTAGTTTTGATGGAGCATCACATCATAAGGATACTTACATCACATCAACTATATTTCACTCAAAATAAGTTTATCGTTTAATGGTAACGGTGAAGAAGATTACACGGAAGACAGTTGAAACAGAAATAGTGGCAAACACGTTAATGGACATAGTAATAGTTAAGACTAACTTATAAAGACAAAAACAATATTTTGGCAAACAGATATTTTAAAATTTAAAAAGAATAATTAAAATACATTTTTTACTTAAAGATAAATTTTGCGTTTGTATTAAAATGTTGCAGCCGAAAAAATGTGTATGCGGTGTGAGGATCCAAGAATCCAGAGACATCTATGAGATTCTCCTTCCCTAGCAAAGTGGTAAAGACGTTACAGACCTATTTTTAAAACGAATACCAGAACATTGTTTTTGAATTGTCCTAGTTTCTTACCAAAAAAGAACATCTCAATTTTTTGGAAAGACACCTCAAATTATAGTGAGTTGGATTAAATGCTTCACCTCTGTTCAACAAAGATCACTTATCCTTCTATCTTTTAATAAAACATTTTCATTGAAATTTAAGGACCACACCATTCGTATTCTACAAAGTAGCATGAACTTTTACAAGTTTGATCGGGTGTAAAGTAAAAATTAATAGATATACCAAGGTCTCAAAATTTGAGAGTCTGCAATCATACATAGATAAATCTTCTAACTGAGTATCCTACTTGCTAAATTTAGACATCTTAAACATAATTTAAAATTTCCTTTGGTTATTTTTCACTTTAAACCAAATTTGGTTCCTTGAATTGGTTTTTATAGCTTTAAGAGAGTTTCTAACACAAACAAAGATTAATTGAAGAATCAATGAAAACCAAAGGGAGCTGTAAGCTCAGCTCCTCCTATTTTTGAACTCTCAAAACTCACCTTTACGGATAAACAGAAAAACATAGGTTACTAAAGTCTTCCAATAGGCATGGTATTACTCAATCACCGATTTAGTAATCAGGGTCCCATTTCAATAAAACAATAGTACCAATCGATATTTACCCATAATTGACTCTACATGACCGAACAAAACTACCAGCCAAGCTACCTAACTTCCAGTAGTCTTGTGGATAATATCAGCCTAGAAAAACGTTTTTTTTGTCATAAGTCTCAACTTTTTAAAGTAGATCTTTGAAAATTGCTAGTTGTAACTCCTGTTTTATGAGATAAGATAAATAAACCACTAAAAATCATGAAGAAGTGGATTTAGAGCAATGTGATACTTTCAAAATATTTAGTTATTTATACTAAACAGAACAAATGACAGAACATATGTTTTTCTTCATTAAATCTAATTTCAGATGAATAAAAGTCGAGAGTCAGAAAGAGCCAGAATTTCACTTTACTGTGATTTTGGTGACTATGGAAATACACATAAATAATCAGTATAAAGCGGTAACACTTATTTTTTTTTAACTCAGTGTAACTAATCTGTCAGTCTCTCACGTGCATCTCCATAGCAATCATTTGGAAGTAGATTTAAAGACCTTCGACCGAACTTTATACATTTTTCCCTAGTTAACCGGTTGATTCTACGAATTAAGTTTGTCTGGTAGATATGAGGCTTATTAGTCCCTAAATTGGTTTCATGTTTTACCCAGACTATCAATACCAAAGTAAAATATAAATTTTAACTTACTAATGCGACCATATCATCATTTTCAATATAACAGTCCCATATTAATATTTCTTGTATCGTTGTATACCTTTTTGCTCGAATTGTTTCAATCAATGGTAAAAGTTTTACCAGTGGTTTATCTTCTTTCAACCGCTTTTTTTTGATGTTCTTTTTTTGTATAGTTTTACTTTTATCATCACCATCAGCGTTGCCAAAAGCATCACTTAGTTTGTCGTCAACCCAATACTCAACTGTTTTACGATCTTGTGGATCAACGAGAAGCTTTGTACATCAATCAATATTTTGATTAACTTACTCTTGTTACAGGATGATCTTCTTCTATAGCCTTTCTAAAACATAATTTGATTGAGTTGCAAACTGTTGTTTTATAATAATTAGCTCTTTGTTCGTAATCTTTGAGTAACTCTTTCATAAACCTTGCCAATACTGTTTCATTCTATTAAAACTTTTACTTGAAGAAAGATTGAAATAAAGTCTTACCTGCGCACTCTTTTTTGGTGGCATATTGGGTGAGCTAATAAAGATAAACCAAAATGTTTATGATTTCCACTTCAAGAAATACATGTAATAAATATAAATAATTATCCTTTGGCAGCATACATATCGATTTTACCAAATGTTTGTGCTTTTTGCATCGCATATGAATTGATTTAAAGTGACATTTAGTGATTATTTCATAAAACCATATCATTTTAGAAACACTTAAACCATATCAAAACACAAACGGTCAGCAAATCAAACATAAAATTAAATAAAAAATGTTACCAAACCTCTAAACTACTAGATGTTACGATGAATTTATTACGAGTTGATTGTCCCATCTAGAAGAAGTGTTCATTTCATATTACGAATTGCATTCGCCACGACATCTATTTAATTTAAGGTTATCATAGAAATGGGACTTGGTTTCTATAAACGTGTGACTTATTTTCTCACAGAATATGAGCCTAATTGGAAGGACGTATTAGTTCTTCATATAGAATAAGGAAATAATAAAACAGTGAATGAAAATGACTAATTGCATGTTCAATCATCACTGATATTCATCTACTTATATGAAGTGAATATATATTCTTCAGAATTGTAAATTTTAACCCATAACACCCATGATTTCTAGAGACTGAGCTTTAATTACGTAATAATTTCGAACAATAAGTTAAAGTTACTATTTATGGCTCATATTATTAGTTTATGTAATTGTGGATTACTACCTCAACATCATACACTCACAGTGTTTGCTATAAAGAGATGATCTTAAGATTAGAAGAGAGATACTAGACTCAAACGGTTTATTTTCACCCCAAGAAGACATAAATATGATATACCACTCGGTCAATTAAAAATCATCTTCATCTCAGTAGCAGTAATCCACGATCTCAAGACCACAGCCCACTGCCATGTGACTGAAGATAAGTGGTTCAGAACTCTACGAACTTTATTATGGTCACTAACAAAGTTGCGTACGAATATTTTGACTGCCGTATACATAACCTAAGCGTGATCCAAACTTTAAAACAGCGTACAGGCTGAAAGCCAATGTTCAACAAGTGACTCAGGTATCTTGAAAAGTGCTCGTGCAATTGCAGAACCTCAATGTTGACCATTAGCGGCGAGACAAAAAAGTCACATCTCTTGACTTTGTCTCATAAAAGATTAACAAGCAGTCCAGTTTCGATGTAAAAATAATTGTGGTGATTATATGAACCAATGGTTCCTCTGTACTTGATGACTGTTTGATTTTGAATTTCAAATACAATACATTCGTCCGTGTTTGTCTAGTACTTCTAGATCAAATTGGGTTATTTCTGGGATTCCTAGTTTATACTATAATTCAAAAGCTCTTAAATATCACATTGGTGTCGCAATAGAGCCTGAGATGGATCAATTAGACATACATTCAGATTTTGATGCTTTTGAGGACTACATGGAGAGGTTCAAAATCTGAACTATGACCAAGGAAAATGTTGAGGATGTTAATATTGTGGCCCATTTCTTTACATTCATCGGAAAAGAAGCATACAGCTTAATAAAAACTTTGGCATCCCCAGACAAACCGATTTCACTCCCTTATGCAACCCTCAAGATACTACTACACCATGTAAAGTGTACAAATTTCGAATGCAGTAAAGAAGGAAAATTCAATGAAATGATTCGTCAAGACATCAGGAAATCCACTACTTTACTACGTTGCTGCAATCCAATTCGTAATCAAGATTATTCAGATAACAATTGATTGGGGAGTTGTGAAACAATTTACGAAGATGTGCACAAGTTTTATGTTGGATATCCTCCAAATCAATATGTGTTGACTAGAATCCATAGCCAGTGGTATAATGAATCAAACGGAATAACAAGTTTCCCTGAAGCAGTCAGAGAACCAGTTTGCCGAGATATGAAGTTTTTACAGGCAGAAAGTCCAAATCAATTCCAAGATTATCCTAATGAGTATGAGGCAGATGTATGTTTTTCATTTAATTGTTTCACAGGTGAATCAAGCCTAGATGAATCACATGTGTTAATTACACATATCAGTGCATATTTGTCCGTATATTGTAATATGAATAACAAAAAGAACGTGTATCATATTTTTTATGCAAGTCAAAGTCACATGATACAATGCCTCAAGTTATATGTCAGTGTTAACCCCAAAGTACTCACACACGATAATCAAAGTGTGAGAAATAAGAGGATAATGCGAATTGGGAGGGTCAAGCTGGTCACAGAACTGCAACGTAAGGAACAAACATTATTTCGTGGGGGAGGATAGTGTTGGAAAGTCTATGATGTAAGTTCTAGATATCAATGGTTTCACTACACAACCGACATGATGGTTGTATACAATTCCAGAAATCAGGTGAGTCTGTTCCAATTTCGGTTGTCAACTCTGATACTTACGAGTGCATTCTAGGTATTACAGAGCCTTTATCTATTGCACTGTCGGACAGAAACAGGATGAACTTAAGAAGAAGACGAACGATTGATTACGGACACTTAGACTCCAATAAAATCTGTGGTGGATGTGGTGTTTGTATGAACCAATGATTACTTTGTATTGACGACTGCTTTGATTTTGAATTCCAAATACAGTGCATTCGTTCGTATTTGTCTAGCTCATCTTGGTTAAATTGCGTTACTTCTTGGATATGCAGTTCATATGATGATTCAAATGCTCCTAATTGTCACAAAATCTCCAAGAATTGACTGTGAACTCGACATTTTCTTTCTTTTTCTTTTCAGCAGATCAGGACAACTCAGAGCACATAGCAATTGAGTTTAAAAATCAGCAACGACAAAAAAAACCTGAAGCATACGGCTTTTTACGTCTAGTCAGAAACGTTCAGGACCTATTATACCAAAAAATATGTCAGCCGAAGACCAAGTACTCATAGAAGCTTACCAAAATTGGACTTACATGAACAGTTGTCTTTCCATACTCAATGTACAAATTTGAATTTAATGGTTGATAGTGGTGATTCATCATATTTCAATTACATCCGGATGAATATCCGCTTAAGATGGAACATGAACGATTACGCACAAAAATCCATGCTACTTTTTTTGGCAAGAATCGACAAGCAGGAGAACTCTTTTTTCAGAAACCCTAGAAATGGAATCTTTTGCGAAATCTTTTACACAAAAGCTTGAGAACCACCTAGGTACAGTCTGTAATGAGGGATATCATTCTCAGTATTAGCATCCAGTATCTGGATGGCCACATTTGGCCACATTTGGAATATGGGATTCAGGCAGCGAGTCCTTGTTTCAAATATTAGGCGGATATGTTGGAACGAGTCCAACGCCGCGGGAAAAAAATGATAAAAGACCTATCTAGCCTATCTTATGAAGACAGACTGAGACACCTCAACTTATTTCCGTTATCTTACCGGCGAATACGGGGTGATCTAATATTGGAATATCGTATCCTGAACGATGACCTTGGTACTAACATGTCCTATCTTTTCCTCCCGTCTAGGGCTGGTCATTTGAGAGGACATTCAAAGAAAGTCTAAAAACCGAGATCAAATCGTCTACGTCTGGAGTTTCGTTTCTCTCACCGAGTAGTGAATTACTGGAATTCTCTACCAGAACACGTAATATCAGCACCTTCTGATGATATATTCAAGACGAGATTGGACCTACACAGTGTAACAAACTGCAAGGATTAAAATAGGTCACTAGACCTCCTATCCTTATTACTGAAGACTGAAGACTGCATGATCAGTTAAATTGTTATTAAGTGACTTATTTTATCCTCTTCGTATAGCATCACAAGACATTTGTATTATGACGTCTACAACAATATCTACATACTTAAGCGTGAGAGAACGAGAAATAAGTCAAAACAAATACGGCGATCCCAACACGTAATTTTCTGTGACTTATATTATGGTAAAGTATAAACATTAACGCTGTGAAAGCCATATGAAAATTAAGAAAAGGCTTACTTGAATATGCTTGGGGAATTAATCAACTATTTTTAGGTGAGTAATCAAACATATATGTTATAAGATTTGACAAATTAAAAGGATGGTGATCAACGCTTTAAAATTCCGCCAGCGTCGTTGTTAGAGCAACCGAAAATAATACCCAATATCTAACATCGTTGCGACAAACTAATATAAAGCCAATCGATTGTTCAGCACTTTCTTTTTGACGTCCCAGTAATAATCTTGGCCTTTGTCAGCATCTGATGAGCATAGTCATGACACTTGACTATACCTTAATGAATCAGACACTTATTCGGGGGTCGGTAATTGTCACCTTACTCTAACTCAGTCGAATCAGAAGTCAGAGATGAACGAGTTCAAAGATCTACTAAATGAGTTGTCGATATGTTGAAAAAGTGCTTGATATGGGCTGGCTGGTAGTCCCAATGGGTGAGTAGCACGGCGTACACTTTTGTGGTTAGTTGTAGATTGAAGACCAAGTGTGCTTCTAGTAAAGCTAATGAAGAAATTGTCAGCGTCGAAAACTTACAAAACTGGTTGTCGCGAAATTTTTTAACAATACAGATTACTCTCGTCTTAATGAAGTAGGGATGTCACAAAGTTGTGACTAACCAGAAGTTTAAACCCAACGAGCTTGTTGTTAGTCAACACTGATGATGCAACCGATATTCTAGTTTTACAACTAGATACCAGTAGCACCTTCTAAATTCGGTTGTTCCCAGTCAGATAGAAATCAGAAGTCAGACGAGAAGAGGCAGGAAAGATATATTTGATTCGTTACCAATATATCGAGGACCTTTTCTATGAGCTGGCTAATGAAACGTAGGAGCTGTGTCCCACGCAGTATTGAAACGTGATCTGGTGCGGATGCATGACCGAAAGCCTTCAGCTAAACAAGTCCACTTAAACAACGTGGTCAGCATCCAATGTCGAACACTTAATGAGCTATTGATTTTGGGGAATTATTTACAGCTACAGATCACTCCCCCCCTAGTGAGGTAGTGATGCCCCTAAGACGTGACCAGCCAGAAGTTTAAACCCAACGAATTTGTCGTTGGTAAACACTCTTCTGATAGCTTGCTTCGTTTAGCAGCGTCTGGTCGTCTTTCCTTAAACTATGGGACCAAAATGTACAACGTAGCAAATAAAGAAATATAGTACAATGAAAATTTCTGTTCCTTGCGAAACTTCGTCGTTCTTTTCCAGCCGTCCTGGAAAAGAGGAAAAATAAAACGTGTGAGTGCATGTGAAAAATACACTCGTACTTGCGTAAGGACACAAGATGAGCGGGGAAAAAAATAAACTGATACACTTTCAAACAGCGTAAAAGCGATCGGAAAAAAGGTTTTCTTTTGGGTTTTTTTTTAATATATAAATATATATATATATATACGTTCAAAAAAAATGTTTTTTTTGTTTTTTTTTACATAAATAAAAAATGAGCATATTAAAAAAAATTTATGATAAACTTTGAAAGGGTAATTCCAGATAAAGCTTATGTCCTACGTGCAATATTCGTTAAGATGTTCTGGAAATCTTACTCGTCTTCCAGAACGCGTTGTTTTAGGTTTTTCTATCGACGTTGACGAAGTATCAAGTTGTGTGTCGGTTGTCGTGTAGGGTACTACGAGTGTAGTAGCTGTGTCGTTTGCTTGTACCGAAGGAAAATCGACGTAGCTAGGGTTTCCTTCTAGGTACGCAGCTTTGAGTCGATCGATACTGATGCTATCTTTCGTACCGTTCTTATCGACTACATAGTACTTAGGTTAGCGTTGAAGAACTTTGAAGGGTCCTTCGTATGCTGATTCGAGGGGTCGTCGATGTGAGTCTCGACGAACGAAGACGTGTGTACTATGTCGTAATTCGGGTTCAACGAAAACATCAGTTGATTGAGGTCGAGTGTGAGCAGGTTTAACTGAACGCATAGCGTTTGTAAGCCTACTCGTGTAAGAGTTTAGATCCATGTTCAATGAAGAGGCTGAAGGATCTACGAATTCTCCTGGGAGTCGGAGTGTCGTTCCGTAAACGAGTTGAGATGCCGTGTATCCAATGTCAGCTTTCACTGCATTGCGGATACCTAGCAAGACGAGTGGAAGAGCGTCTGTCCACTGTGAAACGTTTGAAGCTGATAATGAAGCTTTTAATTGTCGATGAAAACGTTCTACCAACCCGTTTGCTTGTGGGTGATAGGCGGTCGTTAACAATCGCGTCATTCATGGTAGTGCAGTCAGACAACTGGTATGTCCGGATTTGAACTGGCGTACACAGTCTGTAGTGGTAGTTTAAGGGCAGCGGAAATTTGCTACCCATCGTTCGACGAAAGTGCGAGCCACTGTTTCAGCAGTAATGTCCTTAATCGGTACTGCTTCTGGCCATCGAGTAAAACGGTCTACGCATGTTAGGAAATATGAGTATCCGTTCGAGTCGGGTAAGGGTCCTACCAAATCTAGATGGACGTGGTCGAAACGAGCGTCAGGGGTTTTGAAAGAACCTAAGGGACATTTGTTGTGTCTGATTACCTTAGATTTCTGACAGCTTACACAGGAGCGTGCCCACTCCCTCACGTCTTTATTCATGCCAGGCCAACAAAAGCGTTCGGCTATAAGTTCGATTGTTGCACGAGCACCTGGATGAGAAAGATTGTGCAACGTATTGAAGACGTTGCGGCGATAGTGTTTTGGTACAATTGGACGATCCCTACCTGTAGATGTGTCACAGAGTAAGGTTTCCTTACCTGTTCCCATCTGCCTAATACTTAGTTTAAGAGTTGTCGAGGATAACTCATGCTGAAGCTCAATGTCTTCTTTTTGAAGCTGAGCGAGTTTAAGAAGGTCGATTCCTTGGAAACTGTTCAAGGAGCTAATCCGAGACAAGGCGTCTGCGACTACATTGTTTGCTCCAGAAATATGTTGTATGTCTGAAGTAAACTGCGAAATGTAGTCGAGTTGTCGAGACTCTCGCGGTGAGTACTTGTCTGAAGATGAATTTAAAGAGAAGGTAAGAGGTTTGTGATCGGTAAAGAGCGTGAATTCTCTTCCTTCGATGGAATGTTGGAAATGCCGTACAGCACAATACATAGCTAGGAGTTCCCTACCGAACGTGCTGTACCTAGATTCCGCGTCTAGCAACCGTCTCGAGAAAAATCCTAAAGGTTGCCACGAGTTGTTAACCCATTGTTGTAAGACTGCTCCGATTGCTGAGTCGGATGCGTCTACGGCGATACTAATGGGCGCTTGAGTGTCCTGATGAGCAAGCAAGGTTGCTTTAGCGATGTGTTCCTTAACTGTGGAAAATGCTTTACGGGCTGTGTCGTCTAAACTAATTGATTTCGCATTTCCACGAAGCTGATCGGTCAACGGTTTCATTAGGGATGCGCATTTAGGTATGAACCGTCTATAGAAACTTACGAGTCCGTTGAAAGTTCGTAAGTGCTTGATCGTGGTCGGTTCTGGGTAATCCAGAATGGCCGCCACTTTGCTTTTAAGGGGTCGGATGCCTTGGGCATCAATGGTGTGTCCTAGGAAGTCTAAGCAGTTAGTTCCGATTTGGCATTTCTGAATGTTGACAATAATGCCATGCCTTTGGAGTCGATCGAAAACAATGTCCAGATGCTTGAGATGCGATTCTCTGTCCGGACTTGCTATTAGACAGTCATCAACATATGCATGTACGAAGTTGAGACCTCGAAAGATGTCGTCTATAAACCTTTGGAAGGTGTGAGCCGCCTTTCTTAAACCAAAAGGCATTCGTAGAAATTCGTAAAGACCGAAGGGAGTGATGATGGCGGTTTTAGCAATGTCGTTAGTTGCCATCGGGATTTGGTTATAAGCTTTAACCAAGTCGATTTTCGAAAAGACAGTCGTACCTTTCAAGGTAGCTGTCAAATCGTGAATATGAGGCAGCGGGTAACGATCGGGAATGGTTTTAGCATTCAGACGCCGATAATCACCAGTTGGCCGCCAATCATTGCTGTCCTTTTTAGGGACCATGTGCAATGCGGATGCCCATGGACTATTCGATGGTCGAATTATTCCTAGGTCCATCATGTGGTTGAATTCGTTTTTAGCTAACCTAAGTTTTTCGTGAGCGAGTCTTCGTGCTTTCGAAAATACAGGTGGTCCTGTAGTCGAGATGTGATGTGTAACATTGCTGGTTACACAAGGTAATTTCGATTGCGATTGGTATATCCTGGGGTATTTGTCGAGTACTGCTTGGTACAAGGGGTCTATGGTGTGCTTAATCGTGACTGGGGATAACCTGCAACCAGAACAAGGAGTTACGCAAACGGACAGCTTAGTGTTTCCGTCTATTAACCTTCGTGAGCGTGTGTCGATGAGTAGATTGTGGTGTTGTAACAGGTCAATAACAATGATTGGCATAGAGACATCTGCAACCACGAAAATCCAGTGTATGGGTTTACGTAAACCCACGTTAAGGTAGACGTACCTTTTACCGTAAGTAGCGTTCGGCTTTCCTAGAATTGACTGTGAACTCGACTTTTTCTTTCTTTTTCTTTTCAGCAGATCAGGACAACTCAGAGCACATAGCAATTGAGTTTAAAAATCAGCAACGACAAAAAAAACCTGAAGCATACGGCTTTTTACGTCTAGTCAGAAACGTTCAGGACCTATTATACCAAAAAATATGTCAGCCGAAGACCAAGTACTCATAGAAGCTTACCAAAATTGGACTTACATGAACAGTTGTCTTTCCATACTCAATGTACAAATTTGAATTTAATGGTTGATAGTGGTGATTCATCATATTTCAATTACATCCGGATGAATATCCGCTTAAGATGGAACATGAACGATTACGCACAAAAATCCATGCTACTTTTTTTGGCAAGAATCGACAAGCAGGAGAACTCTTTTTTCAGAAACCCTAGAAATGGAATCTTTTGCGAAATCTTTTACACAAAAGCTTGAGAACCACCTAGGTGCAGTCTGTAATGAGGGATATCATTCTCAGTATTAGCATCCAGTATCTGGATGGCCACATTTGGCCACATTTGGAATATGGGATTCAGGCAGCGAGTCCTTGTTTCAAATATTAGGCGGATATGTTGGAACGAGTCCAACGCCGCGGGAAAAAAATGATAAAA